GGAAGAAGCTGTTTTTTTTTTTTTTTTTTTTTTTTTTTTTTTTTGGTTATCCAGAAGGGGGCAGTAATCCAAAACATTATGTTATTCTTTATCAGGATTTGATCTCATGATCTGTGAACTAACAGTTAGTGCGTGTAGTATTCAGCCACGTGGCGGGTCTTAACAATCCAGACGACTTGATTGACCCATTGATTACAGGTTTCCCCTTGTCTTTTCCCTGCGCTGCTACCGTCTTTTCCCGAATGGAACGCACGGCCATTTTATCTGTATTTAGGGCACCTTTTAGTCTAGATACAGCGTGAAGGATCGTCCTTTCTATTTGATAGAATTAGGGAGAAGGGGGAAGCCGTAGAAGTACAGGTTTGGTAGGCAGGTGTTCTCAGCTGCGGCGAATCATCTCGTCCTCCTCCTCCTCCTCCTCCTCGTCCTCCTCCTCGTCCTCCTCCTCCTCCTCTCGGCCTTCATCCGAGTTCCAGTCCCGACCCTGAAGATCTCTCTCTGAAAAGCACCACAGACTTTTGGAAAAACAGAAAAAAAAAAAAAAAAAGTGGCACACATCCTAAAATAGCACTCAGCAGAAGGAGAATGATAATAGTGTGCAGGGTGTCTAGCGCTCAGCCGTCTTTACGCGAATAGATCGATCGCTTGGTCGCATCCATCGCTGAATGAATGTAGTCTGAAAGTTGCCCCACATTGAGCTTTAATGACTGGGCGTTGTATCCGGGGTGAAGACGACTAGGAATGCCCTCAGATGCCTCCTGTGCAGGGATGGTGCTAGGTAGGTAGGTAGGTAGGTAGGTAGGTGGGTACTGCCCCCAGAAATCTCCTCAGATGAGGGAGAAAGAGAGGACTCATTTGGATCAGTAAGAAAGAGAGGACTCATTTGGATGAGGGAGAAAGAGAGGACTCATTTGGGTGAGGGTACATGGATGGTTATAGGTATAGGTGTATGCTGTCAACTGCAGACCACCTCCTCCTCCCTCCTCTCCACGTCCAGACGTCTCTCTTCCAACGTCACCCATTCCCCTGGGTAGCACCCTGCACAACCTCCAGAAAGATGCATTCAGGTCTTACAGCGATGATGCTGTGCAGCACAGCACCAGGGAAGATCGTAAGAGGAAGAGAGAGATGGCCGGCTATGGCTGCCAGCCTACCGTGGACTAAACGAGGAGAGAAAAGAGGAAGCAGAAGCAGCAGCAGCAGCGACAGCAGTAGAGGCACAAGAGGTATAAGAAGCAGCAGAAGCAGCAGCATTAACAGCAGCATTGGCAGCAGCAGCAGCAGCAGACGAAGAAGAAGAAGAAGCAGCAGCAGCAGACGAAGAAGAAGAAGAAGCAGCAGCAGCAGCAGCAGCAGCAGCAGCAGCAGCAGCAGCAGCAGAAGAAGAAGAAGAAGAAGAAGAAGAAGAAGAAGAAGCATGCTCCCATAGTATTTCAATCGACCCCGCATGCTCTGAACTCAGAAGAAATGGGCACATGATGAAGAAGAAGAAGAAGAAGAAGAAGAAGAAGAAGAAGAAGAGTAGGTCGAACAGTCTTTTAGCAGCAGAGCACCAGGCCTGCCTCCTTCCCCCGAATACAACGTAGGGTTCTCTTCTTGCGGACTTGCAACTCTTCTTTGCCAAGGCTTGGCCGTTGGGTTCCGATGTACCTTCTTCCCGCGAATACAACGCACGGTCATTGTAGCTGTATTTGAGGCATGTTTCAGTCTAGATACACAGCTATTGAGGCATGTTTCAGTCTAGATACACAGCTATAATGAACGTACGGTCATTATAGCTGTATTTGAGGCATGTTTCAGTCTAGATACACAGCTATAATGACCGTTCGTTGTATTTGGGGGAAGAAGGTAACCTGGGACCTGGGATTTTCATCTGACTTGTGACCAAGGCAGATGCACCTGAGCGGCCCCAGCTCCCTTCTCCCCCCCCCCCCCACCCCCCCGGGGGGTGACTCGAAAACAAGCAAAGTACCGACGAGCCTACCTTCTTCACCCGAATACAACGTACGGTCATTATACCTGTATTTAGACTGAAAGATACCCCAAATTCACGGCTATAACTATAATGACCGTACGTTGTCTTCGGGGTAAGAAGGTCGAGCTCCTCAGTCAGTTGGTACACCCCCGTGAACGGTTGGCCCACGTTCGAATCCACATGGACGTTGATTAATGATGCAATTGCAATTTAAATACAGTTGTTTAATGTTATTATGAATTACCTGTACCTGGGGCAGATGAACTGGATGGTGATATCTCAAGACCGTCGCCCTTTTAAAAAAGAAAAAAAAAAAAGAAAAAAAAAAGAAAAAAAAAAAGGAAGAAGGAAGAAAAGGAAAAAAAAACGAAAAAAACGAAAAAGAAAACAAGCGAAGTCTGTTGTCTGTGAGAACAGTGTGTGTGGGATTTTTTTTTTTTTTTTTTTTAAAGTTCTTCCCCCATGCCTCCTCTTCCCGTCCTCCTCCCCGCCTTCCTCCTCTTCCACCCTCCCTCTTCATCCACTTATGTCTCTGCCTTCTGTTCTCCCTCCTCCCCTCCCCTGCTTTCTTCCCTTCGTCCCTCTACCCTTCTTCCCTCCCTCTTCTCCCACTGCCTCCTCCTCCCCCGCTCCTCCGTCCTTTCCCCCAGTTCTTTCGCCTTCTTCTGGTCTTCCCCCCGCCTCCCCCCCGCTGCGCTTCTTCCTCTCCTTTCCCCATTGTCTTTCTCCTTCTTCCCCTCGCCACTCTCTGTGCCTTCATTCCTACCTCCCCAGCTTTCCTCCCCCCCTCCCCTCCCCTCTCTGCCCCCACTCTCTTCTCTTCCCCCCTTCCCCTCTTCTCCGTCCACTTCCATCCATCCCTGTCTCAATCTTCTCTCTCTCTCTCTCTCTCTCTCTCTCTCTCTCTCTCTCTCTCTCTCCTTCCTTCTATTCGCCTCTCCTCCTTCCCTGTGCTCTTCTCGTCTAGTTCCTCCTCCTCCCCTTCTTTGGCCCCTTTCCTCCATCCTCCTCGTCCCTTCTCCTCGTCTTCTTTCACCTATCTTCCTCTTCCGTCTTCTCTCCCCTGGCCCTCATGTCTCTCCCCTCTCCTCCTCCACAAGTTGCCGCCCCCATATCCATCCACCCCTCTTCATCTCCTCGCTCTCCGTCACTATCCTCCTCGCCTTCCCTCCATCCTCCTCGCCTTCTTACATCCTTCCACCTCCTCTTTCTCCTCTTCTGCTCCACATCACTCCTGCTCCTACTCATCTCCTCCTCCTCTCCCTCTTCTCCCTCTTCTCCTCCACTTCCTCCACTTCCACCTCTGCTTCCTTCCTCTCCTCCCCAAACCTCGTTATCTTCACTTGTGCTGTTCCCTTCTTCTCCCCTCCCCTCACTCCTCTTTCCCCACACTGCGACTCTTTCTTC